GTTGAGTGAGTCCAAGGATTTGAGCCCCAGAATGGCGCGGATTCTCCTGTAGGCCATTCAAACAAATGCCCAGGCTTCCATGCTTTTGTGTCTCAGGTTCGTGTTTGGCAGCTTGAATACATCCGGAAGAACCTTCCTGCTCCATGAAGGTGGCTGTTCACCTGCCCAGCGGAGCTGGTTGCTCCGTGGCAGTCTCACCAAAAAGGCCCATCAGTGAGCTGAAGGCTACCGTGCAGCAGCATTTCAAGCGTCGCGTGGAGCTCCTTGCGAGAGGCCGGCAGCTCGAGTTGACAGCGACTCCGACAGAGGCCGGATTGCAAGATGGGGACGTGGTGGCTGCCGTTGTGCAGCTTGGCAAGCTGGCTGCCACTGCTAAAGCCTTTGCTTTTCATGCCCACGGGAGCGAGCTTGTGACCTGGGGTAATCCATTACTTGGCGGAGACAGCAGCCAGGTGAAAGAGCAGCTGAGGAACGTCCGGCAAGTCCAAGCAACTCAGGGCGCTCTTGCTGCCATTCTTGAATCTGGGGCGGTTGTGACCTGGGGTGATGCAGCGTACGGTGGCGACAGCAGCCAGGTGCAAGAGCAGCTGAGAAGCGTTCAGCACATCCAAGCAGCTGTGGCTGCTTTTGCTGCCATTCTTGAATCTGGGGCTGTTGTCACCTGGGGCGATCCACTACGTGGCGGAGACAGCAGTCAGGTGCAAGAGCAGCTGAGGAACGTTCAGCACGTCCAAGCAACTGTCGGTGCTTTTGCTGCTATTCTTGAATCTGGGTCTGTTGTCACTTGGGGTCATCCTGAATACGGCGGAGACAGCAGCCAGGTGCAAGAGCAGCTGAGGAATGTCCGGCACGTCCAAGCAACTCAACAGGCTTTTGCAGCCATTCTTGAATCTGGGGCTGTTGCGACCTGGGGTCATGCAAAATACGGTGGAGACACCAGCCAGGTGCGAGAGCAGCTGAGGAACGCCCAGCACATCCAATCAACTGGCGGTGCTTTTGCAGCCATTCTTGAATCTGGGGCGGTTGTGACCTGGGGTCTTTCAGAGAGTGGCGGAGACAGCAGCCAGGTGCAAGAGCAGCTGAGGAACGTTCGGCACATCCAAGCGGCTTCCAATGGTGCTTTTGCTGCCATTCTTGAATCTGGGGCTGTCGTGACGTGGGGTCATCCAGGAAAAGGTGGGGACAGCAGCCACGTGCGAGAGAAGCTGGGGAACGTCCGGCACATCCAAGCAACTGCGCGTGCTTTTGCTGCAATTCTTGAATCTGGGACTGTTGTGGCCTGGGGTAATAGAAGCTACGGCGGAGATACCGACAAGGTGCAAGGTGAGCTGAGGAACGTCCAGAGCATCCAAGCAACTGAGGATGCATTTGCCGCGATTCTTGAATCTGGGGCTGTTGTCACCTGGGGCGATCCACTACGTGGCGGAGACAGCAGCCAGGTGCAAGAGCAGCTGAGGAATGTCCTGCGCATCCAAGCAACTCGATGTGGTGCTTTTGCTGCCATTCTTGAATCTGGAGCTGTTGTGACCTGGGGTCATGCGGATCGCGGTGGAGACAGCAGCCAGGTGCAAGAGCAGCTGCGCCTGAGTTTGGGCTGACATCGATTGCGCAACATGCGCAGACCGCGTTCTGAAAGATGAGAAAATACTTGAACCAAGATGAAAAGGGTGCCTTTGGCCCCATTGGATTCGGCATCCGGGCAGACAGTTGGAGATTCATAGGATCCAGTGGGCCAGTCTTAAGATCCTGGCCGTTCCCTGACCCTTTGCGGGCCCTTGGGTCGACCCATTGACCTGTCCCTTGAAAGGTCAATTGAAAAACCCCCGCGTTTCTGTTTGTCTGGGTTTGTATTCCCAGAATTCGTAGGTCTTCCTTGCCGTGCGCTTTTGCCAAGGGTCCTTGCAAGAAAGGAATCTAGGCCCAGACACCCAGTGTCTGGTTTTTCCTTTTGCAGATCCGTGTTTCCTTTGCGTGCCAGTGTTTTTTTGAGGGTTTGGGGGGGGGCGTTGATTGGAGGGAACCAACATTTTTTGGGTTAAAGGGAAGCCAAGAGGAAAGCAAATTCCTACTATGTTCAAGGTAAATTCTTAAGAGCCTGATGCATCTGGCAGAGAGCCACGAGCAAAACACTACCGAACCGTTTGAGCCCATCAAGCCCCGGATCAACATCTCCCCGCGACTCACCTGACCTGCACTCTCAGTGCTCCATTCCAGGTTGCAACCCCCTGCCCTTTTTGTTCTGTCGTTTTTCAAGCTCATTTCTTGAGTGGATTGGTCACAAGTTCAAAGTTTTGCCTGCTACTACTTGATCCCGAGTGACTCAATCAACTTGGGGAAACCCCAGTGAAATTTCATGAGGAATGGGGTTGGCGTTTTCTGGCAGTTGGTGTAGGAACCCCCGCCCCCAATCACGAGCACCCAAACACGGGGCTCCGTTGGCTTCAGGACCTTTGCGCTGGTTTCCAACGAAGGCAAAGGCCCCCCTGCGGTGGTGGTTGTGGCCATTGAAGAGACCCCCGAGCGCCTGGGCAGCTCTGGGGCCCCGGTGCACCAGACGCATTTGCTGGCACACGGCGACGGCCTCAGAGCAGCGAACATGTGTGAAACGATCCACAGGCTCGGTCAAGAGGTGCAACTTTTGCCCTGGCTCTATCATTTTTGCATATATATATATATATACATATATACATATTTTTATTGTACCCCCCTCCCAAAACCTACCTCTTTTCAGGTTTTAGATGCATTCTGTCCCCTCTCACCAAACACGTATCTAAAACCCACAGACACACCCTCAAGAAGTAGCATTTCTGGCGCTAAATATTCTTTCTTTGGGAATATTGCGCAACATTCCCCACATTTCCGGCCATGGAAGGTTTGCTTCTATTTTGCATTTGTTGGTCCAGTGGACATTTCAAAAGTTGCGCATCATTTGGCCAACAAACAAAAACACACCAACCAACCAACCAACAAACAAACAAACAAACAAACAAACAAACAAACAAACAAACAAACAAACAAACAAACAAACAAACAAGCAAACAAACAAACAAACAAACAAACAAACAAGCAAGCAAGCAAGCAAGCAAGCAAGGAAACAAGCAAAGAAACGAGCAAGCAAGCAAGCAAGCCAGCAAGCACGCACGCACGCAAGCAAGCAAGCAAGCAGAACAAACAAACGAACTACCAAACTACCAAACTAACAAACAATCAAACAAACAAACAAACAAACAAACAAAAGAAAGCAAACAACCAAACAAAATCAAACAAAGACACGCACACAAACACACGCATACGAAAACAACCAAACAAACACAAAAGAAGACACAAACAAACACACACACACACACATACACAACGAAACAAACAACCAACCAACCAACCAACCAACCAAACAAACAATCAAACAATCAAACAATCAAACAAGCAAGCAAGCAAGCAAACAAGCAAACAAAAACAAGCAAGCAAGCAAGCAAGCAAGCAAGCAAGCAAGCAAGCAAGCAAGCAAGCAAGCAAGCAAGCAAACACAAACAACCAAACACAAGCAGTCAATCACACACAAACAAACAAACAAAACAAACACACAAACAAACAAACAAACAAACAAACAAGCAAGCAAGCAAGCAAGCAAGCAAGCAAGCAAGCAAGCAAGCAAGCAAACAACCAAACAAACAAAACAAAACAAAACCCCCAAACAATCAAACAATCAACTAAGACAAGCAAACAAAACAAACACACAAAGCAAACAAAACAATCAACACAAACAACACAACAAAACAAACGAAACACAGAAAACAATCAAAACAACGCAAAGCAACATAATAAACAATACAAACCAACCAACCAACCAACCAACCAACCAAACAAACAAACAAACAAACACACATGAACAAACACAAGCAAACAAGCAACCAAGCAAACAAGCAAACAAGCAAACAAGCAAACAAACAAAATACAATCAAACAAACACTAATAAGCAAACAACCACGCAAACCAGAATCAAACAACCAACCAAACAAACGCATTCAAACAAAAATATACAAGCAAAACCAACAACACAAAAACAACCGATTAAACACAAACAAACAAAGACAATCAAACACAAATACACAAACAAACCAGCAACAAAGCAAACAAACAACAAATCAATCAACAACAAACAAACGGGAGAAAAAACAACAAGCAAAAACAAGGTGACGATGTCCATAACGCGCCCTGCGCTTTCAGCAACTCACCCTGGCCGCGAAATCCTCAAAACGTGATTTCGCCTTGGCGAAACGCACGTTGCCTGCCAAAAAACGTGTTCCGGATGCCTCAAATTCCGCACGACGGACCAGCCTAGTTTTTCCGAAGGAAAAGGCAGATTGGGCCTTCATGGATTTTCTTGCGAGGGCCCGTGCATGGCAGAAGGGGCCATGACATGGGTCGCTTGAGCGGGTGTGCTTATCACTTGGCAGGGCGTGGATGCAGTGCTGAGCGGGGTCACTTGAGCGGGTGTGCTTATCATGTGGCAGGCGTGGATACAGCGCTGAGCGGGGACGCTTGAGGGGGTGTGCTTATCATCTGGCTGAGCGGGGTCACTTGAGCGGGTGCGCTTATCACTTCAGTGCGCGGATGCAGTGCTGAGCGGGGTCGCTTGAGCGGGTGCGCTTACCGTTTGGCAGGTCGTGGATACAGGTGTTGCGCGGAGTGATGAAATTGGTGACGACGCCTGTCAGAACCCTGCGAACAAACGAACCTGTGAAATGTCAAAATTGGCTAAACATGTAAGAAAAACGTCTCAAAACGCAGGGTACGGTCTGGGCATTCTCACCAAAAACAAGCAACCGCAAATAAAAACAAACAAGCAAAAAAGCAAACAAACAACCAAACAAACAAGAACAAACAAAGAAAACAAACAAACACAAATAGACAAACACAAATACACAAACAAACAAGCAAAAAAAGGAAGCAGCCAACGAAACAGTCAAAAAAAACCAAGCAAACATGAAAACAAACAAAAAACCAAACAAAAGCAAACAAACAAACAAACAAGCAAACAAACAAACACACACAAATACACGAACAACACGCAAACAAACACAAACAATCACAAACAAAAACAATCAAGCAAGAGCAAGCCAACAATCAAACAACCAATCAAATAAACAAACAAACAAACAATCAATCACGCAAACAAGAAAGAAACAAAAACAAGCAAACAAACAAACAAAACACAAACAAACAAACAAACACAACAAGCAAACAAACAAACAAACAAACAACAAAACACAACAAAACAAAACAATCAAAACAAACAAAGCAATCACACAAAAACAAGCAAACACAAAACCAAACAACACCAAAACACGAACAAATAAGCAAACAAAAGCCAAACCAACAAACAAACACAAAAACAACCAAACCAACAAACAACAAACCAACAATCAACAAACAAACACAAGCAAACAAGAACAAACAGACAGAACCAAACAAACAAAAACAACCAAGCAAGAGCAGACAGACAAAACCACAAGAACAGACAGACAAAACCAACCAACCAAACAAACAAACAAACAAGCAAACAATCAATCAAACAAACAAAAACAAAACACAACAAAACAAAAACAATCAAACCAAACAAAGCAATCACACAAAAACAACCAAACAAAAAACAAATAAAACCAAAACACGAGCAAATAAGCAAACAAAAGCCAAACCAACAAACAAACACAAAACCAACCAAACCAACAAACAACAAACCAACAATCAACAAACAAACACAAACAAACAAGAACAAACAGACAGAACTAAACAAACAATAACAACCAAGCAAGAACAGACAAGCAAAACCAACCAACCAACCAAACAAACAAACAAATAAACAAACAAGCAAGCAAGCAAGCAAACAAAGAAACACAAATGAACAAACACAGATCAGCAAACAAACAAGCAAAAAAGCAATCAAACAGCCAGACAAACAAAACCAAACAAGCAAAATCAACCAAATAATCAAATCATCAATCAAGCAAACAAACAAACAATCAATCCTACCCCACTATTGCTGGACAGTTTTTTGTTTCTTCGGTCCAGTTGACATGTTGCACGACCTTTCCCAATTGTTTTGCAACGCTTTGCAACCAAGCTGACAGCCTTCAAAATGACAGTTTGCGACTTGTTTCAATCACTTTGAGCCTTTTTCGGGTGGCTTAAATTCAAGCTTCCCAAGATTCTATTTCTGTGCAATCTCGGATCTTGGGTCCAGCCCAAAAGAACGCATGCTGAAAATGCTGCATTTTACTGCATTTAAATGTTATTGGTTGTCTTCTGGGGGTCAAGCGAGATAAACAAAACATAAACTCAATAGAATTTGATTTCCAAATGCTTCTTTGACAGAGTTGAAAGCGGAACTGCGCAAGGACATGGAGCTCTTTATGATTGATTTGGAGTTCAATCTCGAATAGCAATTTTGGTAGGGATGAAATCATTTCCCCAAGCCATGAAGGTTTGCTGCTTTTTCGTGCACAATGATACAAGTAAAAGCTCGATCACAGAACTGTTCCAGGCCCGTTGAAGCTGTACTACTTGTACGGGACAGTTGTGGTGTTGTTTTGAGGTGGAGCTGCCAATCGTACTACAAGTGCATACGATTCAATATTCAAGATGATGGAAAAAATGCCCGGGAGTTTGGAATCCAATTTGCCTCGAAGTCGCTTTAAAGCCACCGCTCAAGATTTGAGATGTAAGATTCTGAAGAAGTACTTTTGAGCGTAAGGGCATCTCTTCAACGAAGCGCTTTGGAAACTGAAAACAAACAACTGAAAAACAAACCTGAAAACTGAATTGACATGAACAAAAACCAAGTTTTCAGTTTTTTACTAGTATTCACCTTTATTATTCCCGTAGTATTGTCTGAGCAACCAAGTACTATGATTGCGGCAGGGCATCTCTTTAAGGAAGTGCACGGAAACTGATTTGTTTTTAACAAAAAACTAAAAGAACTGAACAAAAACCGGAAAAACTGAAAACAGCTGAACAATCAAGGATTCAGGGGGACATGGCCCCCCCAGGCATGTTCCCATGAATCCTTGGTTTTTCAGTGTTTTTATTTTTAGTTTTTCATTTTTTGTCACTTTTTTGTTTTCTGTGTTTCTACAGTTTTTTCCCCCTTTTTTTTCTCCCCAGTTTTTCCCTAGAATTCACCTTTATTACTCCCCTAGTATTTTCTGAGTATTCCTCTAGTATTGTTCTAGTGCTCTAGCCAGGAAACGTGAGAAGTCAGACAAATTGAGCTTGAGAGTATACCCCTCGTATTCCCTCAGCATTCCCCTAGCATTTTCCTAGTATGCTCCTTTAGCATTCCCCTAGTATTCCCTGAGTATTTCCTTAGTATTGCCCTGATTGCTCTAGTATTCCCCTATTATTGCCCTGGTATTCAGTTAATTTAGTAGTCTCTTGGTATACCCCTAATATTTCCTCACTACCCCATAGTATTCCCTTGCTATTTCCCCTAGTAAAGGGATGGGGAATACCTTTAGTATCGCCCTGATATTTCTTGAGTATTCTCTTGGTACACCCCTAGTATTCTCTCAATATTCTCCTAGAATTCTTCCAGTATTCACCTTTAGTATTCCCCTAGTACTTCCCTAGTAGTGCCCTAGTAGTGCCCTTTGCCCTAGTCAGGAAGCCTGAGAGAAGTCAGACAGATTGAGCTTGAGAGTATACCCCTAGTATTCCCTCAGTATTCCCACACATTATCCTAGTATTCACCTTTAATATTGCCCTAGTATTCTCTGAGTATGGACCTAGTATTGCCCTGGTATTCCCCTAGTATTGCCCTAGTATTCCTTTAGTATTCTCTTGGTATACCCCTAGTGTTTCCTCACCCAAATATTTCATTAGTAAAGGAAGGGGAATATTCGGGGAATACCTTCAGTATTATCTAACTAATTAGGCAGCTAAATAGATAACTAACTGATACTATCTAACTGGCTTTAGAGCTACTTCAGTACAACTATTTAGCTGACTAATTAGCTGACTTGCTGACTGCTTGTTTGACTAACTAATTGAACTTGCCAACATTTACTGCTTGAACTTGAAAAATATGCGTTTCGCAGAGGCGACAACACCCATGTCTCTCAAGTATCATTTTTCCAGTGATTTTGGCAATTGTCCAGGCTCAAAACCTGGGTTTTGGAGGGGGGGGGGGTAGCATGCATATATATATATATATATATAGCACATTTATGTTCATTTTTATGTAGTTGTTTGTTTATTTACTTGCTTCTGTGTACACATATACATACGCATGCATAGGTACATATATATATATATACTTTTTCGCATAGAAATGAAAGTGCTATGCACATCTTCGTTTGAGGTGTGGAGAAGGAGTTTCCCCACTTGGCCCTGGCGCGGCAGAGGGGTCTTCGGCCCTGGCGTGTGGTGGCGGCCCCGGCCTCGCGGGGCCGGGGCTTCGGGCAACGCGCGCTGCAGCTGCTGGAGGCCCACGTGAGGCGCGTCCGACGCGTGTTGCGAGCGACGAGAAAGCGTCGCATGGCCTTCTGTTGGTTTCCCAGAATAAGCCAGTTTCTTCCGCAGCTTCGCATCGGGGACTCCCGAAACTAGGAGGGGTTCTCTGTGCGAATCTTGTGAGTCCTGCTGAGCGGTTGTTTCGCCGGAGGAGGTGGTTGTATCCCCTTTAAATGACACACTTTTGGTTCGAGGGGTCTGTCAGACATACATCAACTTCACATTCGATTTGACCTGGTCAAAGGCAAGCTTGTCAGCGCCCAAAATAGCTCCCGCAATAGATCCCTTTGAGCGCTTTAGCGTCGTCAGGTGGCAACTTGTTCGAAAACCGAAAACCGCCTTGCAAAACAAAAGAGCTGCTTCGGGGGCTCTGAATGGTCGGAGAGCAGTGCAAACTGTGACGTTTACTCACTTCGGGCAGATGCACACGGGACATGATCATTGGGTGGTTTGAAAGGAACCATCTAGCAGGTCAAAGCCACCCTGGAAGGGGACAGAGTTGAAGCGGTCGAAAAGTCAGGGGACACCAAAGTGTGGCTCCATGCAACCATTTGGCAGGGACCCGTTTTCCTTGTGCCGTGATTAAGGGGCTCATCAAATCAACACTTTTTGTTTGATCATGATTAGGAACGGATAAGACGAGCTTTTTGTGGCGAGCAGCATGGCAACCGCATGGTGATTTGCCCAGTGATGTCCATTGCCAAAGTTCCTGGGCCTGAAAACCAAGCCCTTGCTGCTGTTGCTGGATGGCCTGAAAATTGGGCTGGGCTGGGGGAGACGTTGTTTGGCGTCTTTCGCAGCAATTGGGAGGCGTTGCAATCCTACTTTTGGTATCCTGACGCCCCTTTGGCGTTATCTCTGCTTTGGTTTTGACGTCCAAAGGCTCCCAAAAGTGGATGGCCCCTCAGGTCTGTAAGATCGTCCGTTGCTGGTTGCCTGCACGAGTGGGCTGAACGGCAGGCTTACCCAACACGCCCCGGCTGAGTGCAAACTTCAGCCTCCCAAGATGTTGGACGTATGCGAGAAAGAAAAAAACCTAGTGTCCCCTTACCAATGCATATTGCCTCCTGCTTCTTCAACTCCTTGCGACCCCATGCAGGCGGAAGTTTCGAATGGCTGAACGTTTTTTTTTGTCCATGTTTGTTTCCTGTTGAGTCCCTCTTTTGACCGGAACATTGCCATGCAAAAAAGTTGAGGTGGCACCCTTTCATAGGCCAAAGTCGTCGGGATGCCTTTCTCGGCCCGATTTTTAGACCCAACAAAAAACCCTTTTTTGGCATCACACCACGTGTTTTTCCGCGTTTTTCTCGCCAGGGGCTTGGGCACCTTCGACTGGCTGGGGGTGTCCTTCGGGCTCACGGCCCAGCTCTTCCGGTTTTGGTCCCGCGCCAAGTACCGGGCCGTGGTCATGTCCCACGCCCCCAACGACCTCACCGGGGAGATGTCCATGAAGATGTTGCTGCCCCTCAGCGATGCGCCGCCCGGTCAGTAGGAAGGAGGCCAAAGCGAACACGTGTCAATGATTTGGGAGCCTGCTTCCCTGTCGGGTGAAGGGAAACCGAGGGAAATCGCCAGTTTTTGGAGGCTCCCTCAAAAGAGAAACTCATTTCTCTTTGGCTTTGTCTTACGTCAGGGTGAAAGTAGATGGCGCATTTTTCTTGTGGGTAAGGCAAAGAAAGCGGAAGATCAATCAAAAATCGGGGACTTGTGCCAGGTACTCTCATCCAACTTTTTCTTCCGCTAAAGCAAAGTGATTTCCATTTCGGTTTATCTCAGAAACAGGGGGCAGAGACCATGTTTGGGCGATTTGTTTGGTCTCACATTTGAAACAGCAGCAGAAAGGATGCCGTCGAGCAAGAGGCACCGTGTTGCTGTTTCCTTTTGGTTTTCTTTCGTGTGCCTTTTGTTTAGTTGGCCATTGGCTTTCTTGTAGTGGAGTTTTGGCCACTGGAGTGAGGCTAGAGAGGGTGATGCCTGCGATCGTGCCGATGTTTGGCAACTCCTTCTACCGCAGGCTACCCACTTGTTTCCGCTGCTTGACCGCAGCGCCACAGACTGATCGGTTAGGAACAATCCCAAATGAAGAACTGCCAACTTTGGTTCCCTCGTATTCTGCCACCTTTCCTGGCATGCCTTGGTTTTGATAGCTGGTTACCTTGTTTGGAGTTGGCAACTCGCTCTCCCTCCCCTCCCCTCCCCTCCCCTCCCCTCCCCTCCCCTCCCCTAAAAAATACATAAAACGGCACTTGAAAGAATAAAACCAAATAATCAATCAGCATAAACACAAATCAGCAAAATTCACAGAAAACAAGATAAGAACCACCAAGCAACTCAAAAACCAGAACAACCCCCAACAAAATATTTAATCACAGCATACAACATTAAATAATTCAAACAAGCATACCAACAAAACAGCAAAAATAAAAACCATCAAAGAACACACACTCAAAAACACACATCAACAAAACCAACGCAACATACCAACAAAAAATATCAGAAGAGTATCAAACAAAATAAAATACAAACAGCCAAAGCACGAAAAAATCAAAAGAGCATACCAAGTTCAAACAACGCACTTTGAAAGAGATAACCAAATCAAGAAAAAATGAAATATTTCAATCTTTACAAACCATAAGTACAGTATAATTATAACATATAAGATTTTACATGTTATTATTATAGTATGATTATAATTTCAGTACAGGATAATAATTTAATTGATTTGTCTTACTTCTTTCATACATCATTTTAAAAATAATATTAATATCTCTCAATGTATGTTGAATATTAAACTTTTTACTTTCAATAAATAATTTGATATTTTCTTTAACATCTTCTCCTTTCTCTTGACTATAACCCAACATCCATAATATATCATAAATCATGTCATATTTTTTCTTACTGATTTTAAGAAACTGTTTAATATAATCGTAAGGTGGTATTTTATTTACAGTTAGAAATATTAAAATCTCATCTTCTACATTTCTATTATTTATTCTTTTTATTCCCAACAGACATTTGATTAAAAATTGATTATCTCTCCAAGTTTTACAATTTGTACATATGTCTTCTTCACCATCCATTGAATAATTAATAATATTATTCACCATTTCATTAGGCAAATTCAATTTATACAATTCCATATTTTCTTTTTTGAAGTGACAACAATCATAGCATTTTTTATTGATATAATTATTGATTTTATCACCGTTCATTTTCCTCTTATTATATTAAGGCACTATTTCTTTAAGTAGATTTTAAGTAGAAAAAATAATTATAACATTTAACCAAATAAATGTTATAAATATGTATGCTTATTCTGGGTCATAAATAAGATTTGTATAATAATCTTTCCCAAAATGAGTAAACCATTTAACTTCATTATTCTTCATTATCTCTTCATCAAACTTATCAAAGGTTATACATGCTTTGCTATTCTTACTACACCACTTTTTATATCTAGCATACATTCCCTGTTTATAGACAACATTACTTTCATTAAATGATATTAAATAATTGTCACAAACAAAGTCAATAACTAGGAAATACGGTGTTTCTTTTATCGCCTCAAGTTCTGAAACCATATTTATGTATATATAATATGTCTTTAAGTATATTGTAAGAATTCATATATTAAATTAACTTAAAGAAATAAACATATATTAAATTATATAGTATAGTATTATGAAACATGTTATAGATTATCTACTAAATAATGACAAAGCGGAAATACCAAAAAGAGGAAACAAGGAATTAAAATCAATAATTGTAGATGGTAGGAAATTTAGATACAACAAAGAAACACCTATCTCGAATGTTTTGAACAAGAAATTAAAATCAGTAGCAAACACCAATGAATATAATAGTCATGCTACAACAACAATTCGCTCAACATACCTTAAACAAAGATTGAAAAATGCCATGACAACATACGCTTTAAAAAACAAATTCAGAATAACAGACCATCAATCAGCATTCAAAAGTTATGCTAATTCTATAAAACTAGTAAATAAACATTTTCAAGGTGAAAAGGCACTATCAATGATACACTACCAAAAAGATAGACTTTTGACCTTTTTGAAAACTAATAGAGCAATGAAACTGAATATAAGGGCAGAAGGTTTATTTTATCATTATTATGATGATGATGGTGTAATAAAACACACAGAGATTCTTTATAATTTACCTGCAACAAGGGCAAACGTATATAATGAAACCGATTTGGATGAAGCAATTGAAAAGTCAATCAAAGAGATTTTATTGAACATAGAAAAGTTAGAAGGTTCAGCATCTAATTGAAAATTTATAAAGATATTATCAATCACAATACATTATGATAAATATGACCCTACTAGGGCAGGTAGTTATATTGACTTACCAGATTGGATTACACATAAGAAAGCATGTATCAATATTCAAAATAGAGATAATACATGTTTCAAATATTGTATTCAATCAGTAGTATTTGATAAGATTAGTAAAAGTCACCCAGAACATACTTTTCATTACAACAAATTAAACGACAATATCTTAAACTGGGAAGGTGTTAAATTTCCAACTGGTAAAGGTTTGAAGAAAATAATAGTAAGTTAGTTTCAATCAATGTTTATGAAATTGATGATACTTTTAATGACGAAAAAAATATTATTGATTACAGAACTAAAACAAGAGATGCTAAACATCAAATAAGCCTTTTGAAAATTGAAACAGAACATAACCATCACTATGTTGTTATTAAAAATCTAAGTCGTCTAATGAACTGGCAAACAAACAAAAATGACCAACCAAAACATTATTGTCATTATTGTTCTCATGCTTTTACTAGAAAGGATTTATTAACAAAACATTATGAGACTGGTTGTATGGCAACACACGGACAACAGTTTAAATTACCAAAAGAAGGTAGTTATATTGAATTTGAAAAATACAATACAAAATTAAAATGTCCGTTTGTTGTTTATGGAGATTTTGAGTGTATAACTGAAAATTCAAATAATGGCATCAAGGGCACGTATCAGGAACACAAACCATGCGGTTATATGTTGAATGTTGTAAATTCTATTGATAATACAAGTCAACCTTTTTTATACCGTGGAGAGGATTGTTTAGACCACTTTGTAAATAAATTAAGAGAAATTAAAAAAGATATTTTTGATAAAATGAATGTTAATAAACCACCGGATATTACAGATGAACAAGAAGCAGAATTTAGAAAAGCTACTGTATGTTCAATATGTAATAAGAATTTTAAACCAGAAGATACAAAAGTTCGTGACCACTGGAGAATAGATATAATTGCACAAAATAGCGAAAAGTTTATTACATTTTCATTTGGTTCATTACAGTTTAAAGATAGCATGGCTTTTCTCTCGGCATCTTTAGATAAATTAGTTAAATTAAATAACTATGACATAGTAGGTAAAGATGAGCATGATAAACCTACATATAAAAAACGGAATGACTGGGAGAGTAATTTCCGATTTTCAACAGCAAATCCATATATTAGAAATAAAACCGATTTAGACTTATTAACTGAAAAAGGAGTTTATCCTTACGACTACATGAATTCATTTGATAAATTCAATGAATCGCAATTACCGAATATAGAAGACTTTTACAGTAAATTATATGAAGAAGGTATAACAGATACACAACACACAAGGGCAAAAGTAATATGGGATAATTTCAATATCAAAAACCTAGGTGAATACCATGATTTATATTTGATGACGGATGTTTATTTGCTTAGTGATGTTTTTGAAAACTTTAGGGATATGTGTTTAAATTATTATGGTTTAGACCCTGCACATTACATAACATTACCTAATTATTCATGGTCTGCCTTCTTATCTCTTACTGGTGTTAGACTTCAACAAATACATAATAAAGATATGTATGAAATGATTGAAAAAGGTCTTCGTGGCGGGATGACACAATGTGCTCATAAAAAAGTAGAAGCAAATAATAAATACATGAATGAACAATATGACAAGTCAAAACCATCAAGTTATATAAGTTATTTAGACGCTAATAACTTATATGGTCTGGCTATGAGTAAAAAACTACCGTTTGATAATTTCAATTGGTATTTTTCAAGGATGGATGAGAAGAAAGTATTAAGTTATAGTGATGATGATGACAAAGGCTATATTTTAGAAGTTGATTTAGAATACCCAAAATAATTACATGATTTACATAGAGATTATCCATTAGCACCAGAAATTATGAGTGTTAGTGAGAATATGCTTTCAACAGTTTAAAAAGAAATACATAAAAAAAATATTATGGAAAAGATGCATCTGATGAAAAAACAAATAAACTAATATTAAATGTTATGGATAAGAAAAAGTATGTATTACATATATCAGCATTGAAGTTTTATTTAGAGCATGGATTAAAACTAAAGAAAGTCCATAGGGTAATTAGTTTTAATCAAGCAGATTTTTTAAAACCATACATTGATTTCAACACCGAAAAACGAAAGAATGCTAA